AGAAAAACAGGTACTGTCAATACTGGTGAAGAAAACAAGGTCAGACAAGATAAACCAACTGAACTGGAGCACAGTGACAAAAAGTGATAAAAAAGAAGCCATGTAATTCAGAGGTAACATCTGAATGCAGTCGTGCTACCTAAGAACACTATTAACACATTTCTTGTACATCTTCAGGCAATGTAATGTCATGCCCTGTTTTTTTCTTCAGCGTTAAGAAGTCCATCAGCCAGACAAAAGATACTGAACATTATTTTGAGCTTTTTTTTTTTAAACTGAGATTTTTATACAATTATTTAAAATGCCATTTAAAGTCATTAAAATTGAAAAAGAAAATTATGCAGGTTGATATTCAGTTGTAACACGTTCCCATTCCACACCCATTTGGTTTGGGGTCAAAATGTGGATATCACATTCCTGAAAGAAAATGGTCAAAAAATCATTACCGACTCAAAGAAAATAAAAGCCAGCCTTTCAATTATAAACATTAAGTTGCCAGCAAAGTTCTTCCTTTGCACCAGAAGCTGCAAAAGAAGTTATAAAGGATGGAACAGTAAATGAAAAATGTCATCATGAAAGGCTGACAGGAAGAGCCTGTGTAAGGAAAATTTCAACTTCTCTTTCTCTATCAAAGACCTAACTGATGATACCACTGCTTTTCATTCTGCTTTTACTATTTAAATCTGTAGCCTTTTTTCCTAATTATCATATTGTGCCCAACCCAATTGTAGCGTGTGCTTAATAACAAAAACACAGCGATTAAAGTAATTGTTTTCAGTTGTGGTTTTGGTTTTAGTTTTGTTGCATTGGGCTTTCTTTCCAGAGTACTGTTGATCAACAAACATCAGGGCAACGACCTATGAGCTCTGAAACAGATGGTTCTTTGATGAGATAACCAACTATCTAGCACAACGAACAAAATCCTGGCAACAAGGATAAAAAAATCCCCAAATTACCTAAAATGCCTTACATATATCACACAAGCCGCAATAGACAGGAAATCATCAAGATAAAAAAGTTGATATGATCATTACTACAATTAAGAATCTATGAAGTCAGCATTATTCAAAAGCAAACAGCTGCTGGAAGAAAAGATGACAGACACAAAACACATGCAAAAATATAAGCAGTAGTTCCATTGAATATTTGGGATACCTCCATTTTAGGGAGAAATCTGTTCCCTACATGCAAATAGCCTACACTACAGTGGTGGACTGAATTATTATTTAGTCAGAAAAACTTGAGTAGTTATTCAGAAATTCAGTTATTAAAAGCTTTCTGAGTAGAAGTGCCACAAGCAAGAACCCTCTCACTGCCTGCAGCAGTGAGCTGCTGTGGTCAAAGAATCAATACTTCAGTCCTTTAGTGTGTGAGGAGGGTACTGATGAAGAGTAAAGGACTTCACCTGTTTTATTTACCACAAACACAACAAGAATATTCCATCTCTACCACCTTCAACTGAAGACAGATGCTGATATACTGGATACAAGGAAGGGCTGTGATAATAATGGAAGAGCTGGGAAAAAAAGAAAATAAAACAACGCCACGCATTAAAAAAAAAAAAACCAAAAAAAAACCTCAAACAAAAAAACTCCCAAACAAATAAAAAACAGCCACCAAAACCAATAAAATCCCACCACATGAGGAAAAAAAAAAACCCAACCAAACAAAAAAAAACCCACACCACACCGAACAGAAAACTTCCCAAGGTCAGTTCATTCAGTTTATCAAAACCATGTTTATGTGGGCCTCTGCTGAATGTCTGACTGTGGAAGATAACTTTGATAACTACCTCTTTAGTACAGCAAAGGTCTCTAGGTAGACTTTCAAAACTAGATAAATTCAGTTTAGCAAAAAGGCATTTTAAAAAAGAAACTGAATAATCAGCCACTAGAGCAATCAAGGATTAGTCTGGATTCACAAGTCACCCTTAACCTCTCAGAAATTATAAAGTATCTCCTAGGATATGCTGCAGATCAAAAAATACTGAATTTTGGGAAGCAGTCTGATCTGTCTCATACAGAACATCTAGTACATTAACCATGTTACTTTGGATCTATGATCTATTGAAGTCCCACTACGATGCATCTCTGCTCACACAGTTCCCACCACCCAGTGTCACCACTTCTCTGAAACTTTAAGATTGGGGAGCTGAATCTCATCTTTCATTTGTGCAAGAAACATGGGAAAAAATAACCTCTGAGCCCTTAGAGCTACAAGCACCTAAAACCTTGGCACACCCTAACTACAAGTCAGTGTAACAATGTTAGATGCCGTTTCACAAGTGGAAACTCCCCATCCATTTCTCTAATTTAGAGATTATCTCAACTCCTCTGCCCAGTCAAGCACTGCTCATTCATCCACCTTTTCATTCAGTCACCACTGGCCCAACTCATCAGAAAGTTAAAAAGAAGAGCTAGTAGGAAGGGGACAGGTGAAGAAGATTGCCCTTGTCAAAGCCCAGTACATTCCTGTCTTTCTCAGTAAGAACAAGAAGTTGCAGAAGTGAGCACTAAATCCCTGTGTTTTCATTCCCTTTTGCAGAATTACATATTCTGCTCCCAGGTTCTTTGCCATGTCAAGGGGCACACAAGTAGAAGCAGCTTCCTATTGCTTTGCTGTCCCGTCATCTGCCTCTCCTTACTACTGTTGATACACTGAAACAGTGGGGGATATTCTGATGTCTGCTTCCCAAGTTCCCATGTGGTGACAACAGCAATGGTACCCTTGAAGTTTCACTCGTGCAGCCTACACTGCGACGCAGCCTACCTCCCATTACCCCTCGTCACTTGAGACTTTTCTTAATCGCTTCTGACCAAGAGGTGCTGTTCCACAAGAATAGCTAGCGATGGAGGGCATTTCATCACCCCTACTACTCTCTCTCCTTTCCCCCTGCTTCCCTTTTGAAATTTTGAGGGGGTAGTGTGTGTGCAGCAGCAGTCACTTTTTGAGTTGGTTTTGGTTTGTTTGGGGTTTTTTTTGTTTTTTTTTTTTTGCAAAGGGGGAAGGAGACAACTCATCTTTCAGCATTCCTAAAAAAACTACTTACATTCTCTCGCTTTAAGCTTCCTCTCAAGGTCCGCTTAAAAGAACACCAGAAATTTTCTGTGAGAAAACTCAACTGTCTCAGTGACAGCACAGATTATTTCATAATAATGAGCATGGGTTTTTGCAGTCCTTTACATACATTATATATCAGCACTTCCATGAAATACAGAAATGTACATCTCTTATGGGAATGGGAAACTGATATCATAAGTTATGGAAAGGGAAACTGATACCATAGAACTGAGCTGGGAAGAGAGTGCTGAATTAGAGATTAAAAGAGTGATCGTATGACTAGTGCAGCCTCAAAAGAAGATAAAATTTTAAGTAAAAAGTGAAGCCAAAAGGCAGCTTTTATGCATGAAGCATTTTTCAGATCAGAGGAAAGACATCTTTGAGAAATAAGTTTTCAGGTTCTACAACAATAATTTTCACTGTACACTTCCACTTGAAAATTGGATGGGATCCTGAGGCAAAACTAGTTTCAAGCCACTTAAATAGCTGTTTCATTCCCAAACCCAGTGCGGAGGACACAGTAAACCAGCTTATTTGACCAACTGTTTTGAACATTTCTTGAGTATCTTTCACAGTCAAAAAGCTAACAAAGGAAAATAAACAACATGTTTCAAAACAGACACACTGTGGAGGCTATCCATCCTCTCCCTGCACCATTCATGTGGCATAAATGAGAAAATCTTGAAATGCCCAAGATACATTAGCAGCAAGAGGTTCAAGTAGTCACTAGCGGCGATCATACATGAAGACAGTATTTCCCTCTCATTAGACAATCATCATCCCCTGGCTACCTCAGTCCAGGGTCAGGTCTAGCAACTGAGATCTTAGTATGAGTGTCAGTCTTTCCTGATAAGCATGAAACACTTAGTACAATTATATGATTAAAAGGATCAAAACACCGAAACAAGACAGTAGTTCTGCTGAACAGGTTTAAGAGACGGCTGATGGAACTAGTGATAAAACGTGTTGGTCTAGCATGGCAGACAGATCAGACAGATCAAAGCATAAATTTAGTGCTGACAAAGCTTTTAGTTTTCCCAGGATTTCAATAAATAGTAATTTTTTTTCCACCAAATTCTGGTATAGATACAAGTTAGATGGGTTCTAATAAATTTATACTAATATTGTGGGAACACTAAAACAACATCCAAAGAGGGAACAAATTTAAATCCACCTCATTGAACAAACTCCTCTGGAAAATGAGCACATTCCAGAATAGAGAAGATAGACACCAAATACCCAACAAAACCCCTCCTCTATCACCTTTTCATTTCAGATTAAGTTAGTGAAGACATTTCAAGATCTTTTAATATGGAAATAGCTAAGAAATCTCATCTCTTTTTCATGCTTGCAGTAAAGATACATAAGAAAGCATGGATAAAGCTTCATGTTAGACATATCCTACTGGGCAAAAAGACACTGCAGATCTGGTAATATATGTTATGGACATGAAAGCATGTTCTTTCAATAACAGGCTTTTAGCCAGATGGCGATTATGACAGAGTTTATCATTTATGTTATTACAGTGACTAGAAACCATACACATTAGCCCAGAACACTTCTCTGTGGAGCATCCTATTCAGAATGCAAAAGCCTGGTACTAAACACAGGCCTGCGGCACAATGAATTTTAGGATGAGCACAAGTAAAACAAATACACAAGAAAAGTTATCTTATTCTCCGCGGAACCAGTACAGGGACTTTGGAGTTCCATCAACAACTCTCTTATCCACAGAGCTAACTCCTCTAAATGAATAAAAGTCTTTTTTTTTTTACGCTGGCAGTCATGAAAGGAAGAGGTCGGCAGAGGAAGGCAGTTTATGAACTTTCCTTTAAAAACTGTAATATGAAAAATGTAAAATTTGCTGAGACTTCCTCCTTGATACTGTATTTAACTGTAACACACCTGAGGCCTGTAATTCCTCAAATATATCTGCTTACCTTGGTGACAGCTTTTGAAGAGAAGGTAATTTCATCAATAAAAGTGATGATATCATCTGGATCAAGTCTATCGAAGTACTTGGAACACGTATCATATGCATGAAGCCACTCATCCACAGTTTCCGGTATTTTTTTAATGAGATGGTTATCGCCATTCCAAAAAAGTTTTTGTAACCAGACAGCATAAATAGAGCTTGGTGACAGCATGCTGCCATCTTTTTTAGGAATTTTGGGAGCCAGTTTGGAAATAGATAAGATATTTTGACTTGTAAGGACAGGCTCCAGTGTTTTCAGAGGGTTTTCATTTTCATCTGTTAGTTTTTTGTAATTAAGACCTATTGACAGAGGGAGAAAGAGGCAAACAAAATAAAAGTTATTCATAGTTAGATCTACTCAGACTCTACATTTATGTGTAAAACAATCAGCACTAAACCACTATCTGAAGAACTAGAAAGTCTCAATTTCCTTTTACAATCATACATACTGACAGACTGGGGAGGAAGACAGGTTTGTATACAGGTAACACTGGCATTTTATGATGTCCTTATGCATGTGAAATCTCTCAATTCCTGTAACGTATTTTAACATTACACATAGATACAAATTAAAAAAGCAGATTCTCAAGGAAACAAGAATATATATAGTATATAGAAATGTGCTACTATTTTTTTTAATATAAAGCCTAGAAAACCTGATGCACCTCAAAATATAAGCCTTCATTAATTAAAAAAGATACATTCTGATCATGTAACAATTGGTACTTACTACTACCTACCCCAGCAAAAATGCAAGGCACTAACCACAAGCAAACTAAGTAAGGTCAACTACAGACAGGACATGTAGATCCATTTACATGAACATCCATATAATACAAGAGTCCTGTTACTACTTTGGTTCCTACAGGAAGAAAACTCTTGCAAATAGGAAGGAAAAAGAAAACTTGCAAAAAGGAAGAAAACTCTTGCAAATTACTCTAGCAACAATACTATTTTATTCTCTATGCATATAAAGCCTGAGACAACCGACATCTCTTGTCATGTTTTTCTTCATATAATTAGGGCCTGTAACCTCTACAAACACTTTGGTGTTGCTCCTTGCCTACTATCTATAAACTACGCTGAACACTGAGAATTTTAATGAAGGGTGTAATACAATAGAAAATTATACAAAGTGACTCATTTATGTCTAATATATTGCCCTATGACTTTTTTTTTAGCAACGTCTAAAAATAGCTTTAAAGACAAAAAATAACTTCTTGACAGATTTTTATTTGACAAGCATTGTAGAACTCCCCTGTTTAAACACATCAATAAGAACTGAAGGTAATCCCTCCTCCCCCAAAAAATTCTTGCCTTTTTTTTCTTCCTGCAATACATGAATTCATATGCACAATCTCTCCAAATTCCACTGCAAAGATAGTGTCTGATATACACAAGGTTCCAGTATTGAACAATTAATTCATCCCCATAGCAGGTAATACCATACAGTGTGTAGTTTTCATTCGGAAACTGGATTAGGAGTTATTCAACCGAAAATCAAGATCCTGCTACTACTTGACTAACAAGCAAATTGAAACTAGTATTCAAAATTTCAGAGTGCTTTCCAGCAGCTTGCTTTTATAGGCATTCTCTGATAATGTAGGAGGACAAATAATGTTGTATCTTTGAAAAAGCAAAAGGAAACATCAAGGATAAAACACAAAATAAAATTACCCCTTTAAAACAAACTGCTTAAAGTTCCTAATACATTATGTAATTCAGACTTTTGAAAGGTCAACTGCCTCAAGTTCTTTGAGAATATCCATGTTAATCTTGCAGTGTCAAAAATTATGCTCTAGGAGGTCTGTATTTCTTCTTTAAAAATTCACTGTGCACCACTGCCAAAAATTTCAACTTGCATCACCACAGAAACCTGTTTTTCAATATTTTTTGCTTGCTGTGATAAACTAAATATTCAGTAATGTAACGAGCAGGAGCTTACTCCTATAAGATCTGACTAACCTACTAAATTACTTGCATTCATATGATATGCTCATTGGAAAAAATTACCTGAAAAGTATAAACTACCTAAGCATAATCATATCAACACTCACATAACAGAATAATAAATACAGCTATAAAGAAAATAAACAGGAACTCTCCTACCTGGTGCAACTGCTTTGAATTTTTTCAGGAGTCGGATGTGATTTTCAGGTTTAAGAGCATGCTTCACCACTTCTGAGCAACCACAGTTTTCAAGAAGTGTAAAATAATAAAGCAACCGCTGGTGATCTCTGCCTTCAATACTTGGGTAAACATATTTAACCATGTGTTCATGTAAGGTTTCAGGACTGGTCTTCAAAGTCTCAAACAGACCAAGACTTTGTGCTCTTTCTTCTATTTCCAGTGTCGCTAACCTGCACGTAGAAATAATTTTGCCTTTAAAGGCCTGGACATGCCATGAAAGATTCTTCAGCTGCACACTTGGGAGACAGGACAGCACTTTCCTTTCTTTAAGGTTCAATTTTATAAGACATTTTGAAAGAGTAAATACTCATTCATAAATATTTAGATAGCTGTTCTCCATACACAAAAGCTAAGCAGCTCTTGTATTTCCTGATCTTGTTATCTGCTGACTTGGACATGCATATTAAGGGTCATGAATACTGAAGTGGGATACAAAGCAGCATTTCACATCTCTGAGTACAGCTATACATAAAAGCAGACATATGTCAAGAGTATGTGTACAGGAATCCAACCCAAACCAAAAAAACTTGTGGCTGAATGATGCTAGAAAATCCTATTGCCCAATTAGAAGTTCTCCAAATGTTTTACATTCTATTTGCTGTAGTCAGTGAGCACCTGTGCCTGCTTTGAGAGAGATTATCACTGAAAATTTGCTCTTGCCCCCTAGTTAATCTATTTGACACACTTATTCATGCTTAGCATATTCCATTTGACAGTTTTATCAAGCTGCTTCTCAAATTGTCATCCATGAAAGCTTATGAAAATATCAGCAACTCTTAAGGTGACCTCAGCCAGTCTCACTGCTTCAGGAAATTTTTTTCCTGACCCTTTTGAATAGAATACATTAGGTCTTTCATAGCATGAATTCAGACACGTCCATCTGACTACATAAAAGATAGCTGAATGTAATCGCTCCTTTTTTTCCTCAGCTGGAAGAAAAATGGGTGCATATCAAGGAAGTCTCATCTTAAGTTTATACTTTCCTCAACTGAAAGTTTAGCCTAAAATCCGAGGAAAGAAGTAACCTACAGATGACCACCACCTTGACTCTCCCCAGAGTCCAATCACATGTCATGTTAGGTAGTATATTTCATTTGGAAATCTGATGTCTTCTAATCCCATTTGATTTTCTTCTACTTTTAAATTTGATTAAATTAGAATTTCAACATCATTTTTTTCTGAGTATAAATGCCACATGTAAGTTAGTGTTTCTCTTTGATATCCAAGTAAAATATGTCTCAGTTTCATTCCTAAAGATGATTTTCTTACAGCAAACATCATGAACACAACCTTCTCTCAGTTTAAAAGAGATTCTCTGATTCCTGAGGAAGAGTAAATTATTTCTGAGTTTTTTTAATACCTAGAACCTAGCCCAGTTAGGTTGTTAACCTTGTAAGCATTATTTTAATTCTCTAAATTCTTGTTATTTATTAAGTGTTCTACTACCATATTAATGCAAATAAAGCATCATTCATTCTTAGTATCAGACAAAACAGACACTTGGACCTGATGTACTTCAAGACTGTAATCTGAATATATTTTTCTGTCCACACTCAAAGTTCAAACTAAAGGCTAGATGGACATTAAATTATATCAACAGTATCTACAGAGGTTTGCTGTGTGTTTTTTGGTGGTGGATAGGAAGGGTTCATTATGCTGTTCAGAAAGATTCCAGAACAATAGATTCTGCGATGGGCAAACATAAAATTTCCTGTTGCTGAAATCATAAAATGCATTTTATAGATTTTCAGTAATAAATGTGATCAGATTCTTCAAAAGAAACAATTAAATTTCCATTGAATTTTAAAAAATGTGATTGTAAACAGTTTTCAACACACTTAAATTCACAGCATAATAGAAAAACACGCGATGTTTATTTGTCATCAAGGAATCAAATAAATAGTTAATACAAACTATGTAAGTCCTTCTTTTGAGCTTCTCCCTACATAAAATGGCTTACAGAAATACACTATATTTGGTTAAAGAGATTAAGTCTTAGAATAAACTTCTTTTCAGCTAAGAATGAATGTGTAATGAGGCATGAATTATTAATACAATAATCCCAAGACCAAAATATACTGTCATGGCCATATGCTGTCAATCAACTTTAAAATGAGATTATGATACAACAAAAACATGCTCAGCAGCATATTACGCTATTATACATCAATTTTCAAGACTTTTTTGAATTTCATCAGGGAAAAGGTTGTTATTTCGTACTTCAGTGATTTCAGAATTCTATGAATACTAACTCATGGAGGACAAGAACAAAGAAAATTACAGGAAACTGTTGCAAAATACCTTAGGTAATATTCTAGTGCCAGAGAAGTGAGCTGGCTCTTTCACATTCACCCCAGTGTTGCCATGTTTATATCCTGACTGTCTATTTTGTTTAAAGCACTAAATAATTTAGCAGCATCAAAACTTAGAGGGTATGACTTCTCTGTTTTCTGGAGGAACCAAAGAAAATCTCAGAATGTTATTTCATCTTTTCAGATCTTGCACCAACATCTAAAAGGCTTTGTTTTTTTATGCCTCATGTTTTATAAAACTTTTTAATGCTTTTTAATAGTTAATGTTGAGAGGTACAAATACTGCTGCAAGCTAAAGCTGCTTTCACGATTTAAAATTGAAACAAACTACTAATTTGCTCATGCCTGTCCGAATCGTAGATACGAGTTGCTGTATTACACAGAGGGCTCTACATCACTGTCATCTGAATGCACTGTTCAGGTGAGAAGCTCAGTCTTTCATCGAATGGGTTTATTCATCTTTCAGTGGGCAAAAAGTACTTGTCTGACTGACAAGATGTCGACGTTTAAAAAAAAAAAAAAAAAAAAAAAAAAAAAAAAATCACACCTCTTGGATTTTCATACATGGGCCATTAGGAGTGTGTAGATTGAAAAGGCTGTTTAATCTGACCACACTAAGTATCACAGAAGAACAGCTGCCATGTAAAAAAAAAACATTAAAAAAAAAAAAAAAAAAAAAAAAAAAAAAAAAAAAAGTGCTTCTACAAAAATGTGTGACTGAGATGAACAGACGAATAATGTGAATGGGAAGCTCCAATTTATTTAATTTCCTTTGCTATTATGTAGAAGAGAGATCAATGAACAGCAAAACTTTCATTTTAAAGAAATAATTATGTAACAACTATCAAACTTCAGGATATATTCCAAGGGACTGTAAAAATAACTACAAGTTCCAGTTGGAAGAGAGCACTAAGCGTTCAAAGCTGTGGAAACCTAAATACTGAAACAAAACCGGGATACTTAGAAGAACAATAACACATGTATGGACTTTTATCCTTGCTTCTAACACCTTATTTTTGTAGCTGGTTACAAAAGCATCACATGAAAAAGACAAAAATTCCCAAACTATCACAACCCTAGAAATATGAAAACACAAACCAAACTCTACCCCCGATATACTTCAATTTTCTTATAGGTTAGCACATATTTCTGTGTAACAGAACCGTATGTGTACTTGCAGGGGAGACAACTTACCCACTGTCGGTGAATAAAAATTCCAGATGGGTCATATAAACTTCCCAAAGTGGAACATCATATCGCTGAGCCAAAGAAACAGCAATCTTGTAGACATTTTCTTCAAGTGTTCTTATAGAGAAAAGATATGAAAGAAAACAAGGAAAAGTCACACTAAGCCCCTGGAGACATAACATGAAAATAAATATTTACATTACAAAATTAATGAGTTCTTTTTAAAATATTTTTTTCATAAACCAAGAAACTAGAATCACTGTTAAATAAAAATACACAAAGTGTGTCTTCTTGCATTTGCTTATACTCAGTGCTCTATTTGGGGGGATAAAAAAAAAGAACAGGGGGAGGGCTCAAACTACAGCGATATTCCAAAGACAGGCTCCTACTCCATATACACTTCGGTTCGCAATGACAGTTTCTGTTTAACCTTTGTGCTAAAATAAACCCCTCAGTTTTCATTTCATTTCACTTAAAGGGTGATAAAGGATGTAATGTGTCACAGTTAGCATTCATTTGACTTAATTTTAACACCTACAGTGTTTTAGCATGACTCTTGTGTAGGTCCTCAAAGCTCTTCCTTTCACAGACATTAACACTCAGTATCTGCAGACTAAAAGAAGGTGTGAAGATGTCCAGCTCCACTCTCTAAATGCCCTAGAAATATTAAAAACTCTCTTTCTGTTATCGTGTATCTGTTTAACAAAACAATAGCTGGAGAACCTGTTAAGCGAACAAAGCCTGAAGTTAACTTCGTATTAATTTTTACTAATTACTGAAGTCAGTATGGTTCAATTAGACACACGTGGTTCTTGGTTTTAGGCTGGTATAGGAGCAATACTATTAAGGGCGATGCTGGGTTTTCTGGGGTTTGTGTTGTGATTTTTTTTTCTTCAGCATAATTCCAAGAGAAACATTATCTGTTTGTAATTACATCCTAATAGACCTGTCATGAACAACTTTTTAAAAAATTTATTTTATGTGAACACTGCCAACCATATTGTCTTAGATTCTTTAATTAAAAAGTCATGTGGGACTAAGGAAAAAAGCCTTACACAACATGAACTGTTACAAAACACAATTGCAACTGTCAGTAAATCAGTTTACAAAATTTTATAAGACTCATGTTAACTCCATAAACTTATCATATTATGCTTAACATCTTCCTTAGATTCTTTACTTTGTTTTCTACAGTCCTGGCGGGGGTAGGCGACAGATGTTGCAGAGCAACAATAACTTTCAGTACATTTTCTATACAATCAACATGATCCATGTACAACAATAAAATAAAGGAGAAAGACCCCTTCATATTAGAAACATATCCTCCTAGTTCTTTTTTTTTTTGTCACTTACAAACATAGATCTATACTATAACTTGATGATCTATGCTAAACAAGGCTTACAGCTGGAGCCTATGACTTTCTCGCCACCCTAGGTAAAGAGCCATACACCTTAATTCTGATTTTTAGATGTTCAATTCAACATATCATTACATTCCACTGTGATAGTTGCTACAGATACTGTAGAATTAAAATAAGATATACAATGCAGAATACAAAAGCAAAATGTCAAGAAAGGAAATAGTGCTGAAAAACCTTCACAACCAGCTATGAGAATAGCCTTTGCATTATATCTATTGCTCTAATAATTAGAAAAACAAATACAAACACCAAAAAGGGGCAAAAAATCACAACTCTCTTGTAATGACTCGCAGTTATGACAACTCCTGAAAAATATTTGGCACTTTACACTGAATAACATGCACGCAAAGGAGACAGAACAGAAACATTAAAAGGAATAAATATATTTTAAGGAAAATGAAAGTATTTATTGAAACACATTTAAGAAGAAAAAAGAAAGATAAAGAAGGAAAAAAATCCTCCACGCTATCCTGTCTCTTCTGTTCCAAGGGCTATGGCACCTTCCCTCTGATTTTCCAACACAGCAAGGCTTCCTGCACCCAACGTCTTTGAAACTAGACTCAATACTTCAGTGCAAACAGAAGAACACTTTTTCACCCAGCAAGTAATGGTGTATGTATAAGAGGATGTTGATCTGAACTTTTTCAAAAATACTCAGTAAGAGTCATCTAATCTTTTAGAGGCAGATGCTCTATTCTATTTTTCGACATTAAGAAGCACCATGACAACACTACGTTGTGAATTCCAGATCAGGAGCTGCAGTTTGTGCAGATTGTCATTCAGCACATAAAAGCAGATTTTTTTTAAACCAGGGACAGACAACAGCTGTTGCCAAATCACAACACATGTAAACTTACATTCCTTTGCACTTCCAGAAATCATTTGCTATACCGTCAACAAGGGTATTACTAGTTAAAGTGAAGGTGAAGACTAATACAAGAACTGCACAGCGACCATGCCACTGGCTAAGGGGAAGATAACAGGATATTCAGGAAAAGGTACCTTGGAGGTGATGAGGTTAACAGCAGTATTCTGCAGGCTAGCCCTCAACACTGATCTCAATACTTTCACTAATTTAAAAAAAGGAAAAAAAAGAAAAAAAAAAGGAAAAAGTACAATATATTACTTCCCTTGTATCATCCATTCAGCTACAGAGTATCTTGACAGAAGGAAAAGATGACCTTTCGGAATGATCTAATAACCCTCTACTTAAAAAGTAAATATTGCAACAACTTCTGAAATGAACTGAGCAGTTCTAAAATCAACAATGGAGCTACTGGAGAGAGTCCAGTGAAGGGCCACAAAGATGATGAAGGGACTGGAGCATCTCTCCTGTGAGGAAAGGCTGAGAGAGCTGGGACTGTTTATTCAGCCTGGAGAAGGCTCAAGGGGATCTCATCAATGTATGTAAATACATGAAGGGAGGGTGCAGGGAGGACAGAGCCAGGCTCTTTTCAGTGGTGCCCAGAGACAGGTCCAGAGGCAATGGGCACAATGAAACACAGGAGGCGCCATCTGAACATCAGGAAACACTTCTGCCCCATGATGGTGACTGAACATGGAAACAGGTTGCCCAGGGAGGCTATGGAGTCTCCATCCTTGGAGATATTAAAAGCTGCCTGGACATGTTCCTTGGCAATCAGCTCTAGGTGGCCCTGCTTGAGCAAGGAGGTTGGGCAAAGTGACTTCCAGAGGTCCCTTCCAACATCAACCATTCTATGACACTGATTCAGTGAAAGAGGAAGATGATATGAATGCTTTAGTTGCACAGTAACTCAGTCAATCATACAAATCAGTTGTTCTTGGATCCATTCCCCCCCTAGCACTCTATAAACCTTACTAAATCCTGTCTTTCTGTCTTCAGAGCAGTATGCCATGGCCAAATGGAGGTTTAAGGAAATGATACTGTATAAATTAAGAACAGTAGTAACAAGCTATTCATTGTCAAGACAAGTAGTTGTTACCCAATGAAAAGCTAAAAAAAATGGCCATTATCTTTGTCAAGGACCTTTTAAATTTCTTTTTTTACACACCCCTTCTCAAGCCCAGCCGTAACTGCCTGTCCCTGCGAGCCTGTGGACTGCCACAGAAATCCCCACTGAAGGCTCCGGTGCAGGCGCAGCGTGGCTGTACTTCTTGTGTGCTGTTGCACCAAGACTGATGCTAAAACAAAGTCAGCAGCAGTTCTTTTGGATGGTTCTTAGCCACCTGCCTGTGTGCTAGCACGCATTTCTGAAGTATCAAAAAATATGCCTGTGAAAGTATAAAAAAATATGCCTGTGAAGTAGCATTCATCTGGGATTTTGCTGACTATCTTCAAGCTCACAGAAATAAATATTTGGCAGCTTAGAGCAATTGGCTGGGTTGGTTTTTTTCCATCTTTCTGTTCTCTAAAACCTCTGTTGTATCATACACGTGCATGTGTTTGCTCACAATTGCTGTCTTCAAGATTTTCTGTTGACATTAATCAGCTACAAAGCATTAGAACCACCACTAGATTCAATCATAACAAAGGGAAATGAGATCCCGTTTTCTAGTTGCCCATTCTCAAAAAATGCTTAAAAAAAAAAAAATCCAACTGAGAGAAGTGAAATGAAGATTTAAGCCAATAACCTTTAGTTTCCTCTCATGCTTGAAGCAGAAAAATGAGATGGAAGGCTATGGCTGTTTGTTAACTTCTGCAGCAGCAACACATCAGGGAGAAAAGGCTGTGTCTACCCTGGCAACAGAGGAGAGTAGCATAGCAAGAGCATACACAATGGTTCAGAAGCTGATGTCACTAATAAGAGGCGAAGTACATTCTAAGTGGTTTTACATAGAACCTTCTAGTTTAGTCTTCTGGAAAGGGACCTAGTTCACATTCACCAAATTCTGAGAACCAAATAAGCACAAGCTAAGTTATGAAATTCAGATTGCTTGATAATTGCACAATTTTTCTAAAAAACTAAAATAAGTGTTTCAGATCGGTGACATAAGACAAAGAAGAAATTGGTATTAAATCATTAAAATCAACTTCTGATTTCAACGTTTTAAAAGAAGCCGTGAAAGGCTGAAGAACTCAGAGCAGGTGAATTAAAAACAAAACAAAACAAAACACACACAGACAAAAAACCAACCCACAACAAAACAAACAAAAAAACCAACACACCCCCCCCCTAAAAGCTGTCTTCAAGTAAAAGAAGAATTTAGAAACCTTATATACCATAGTTGGCCTGAAGCTACACGGGACTTTACCTGATTACTCAAGAATTCCCATTCAGTCTTGCCCTACTTTCCCTAATACCTTTCCAGATACATTCTGGCTCTATTTTGCCAAGTAAGATGTTAACTGCTTGAGAACTAGCCTTGATTAAGTCTGTGAGGCACCCAGATCTTTAAATATTTGATAAATAATGCACAATAAGCTCTAACAACAATACACCAAATACGGAAGATAAAATTGACAACTATTTGTTAAGTAGTTTTAGCAAATCACTCATTCTAGTACAGAGCTGTTTCGTAAATAAGATGTCATCTCTTCAAGGTGTTGTTCCTGCACACAACACTTCATAAAAGATTAAAAACACGAGACATTTAATGATAATTCAAAAATAAGAAAAATATGCTACACAATTATATCGAATTTGCACATTGTTTTCAATAGAAAAAGCAGATTAAGGGTCAACTGAGAAGATCAAAGCAAGGAAGCTGCAAGCTGAACAGCTAATTAATTGGATCTTTGCAGTTGCCTAATATGGAACTACCACACTCACCCACACGCTATGAAGCCTTAGTTTTACTAACCCTTTCATACTGTGTTTTGATCTCTACTTACTGTAAGAAACTCTCTCTTCTATTTACTTTATTTTTACAAAGGCTGTATCTAAAGGACTCTTGGATGAGAATGTAAGTAAGCATGCTGCATCCAACATAAACGTCTGTAACAACAGAAGGCTTTTTGTATTGCCATTACTGTAGATAATCATCAAGAATTAACTTTCATCCAATGACGTACTACTGATATGATATGTGCTCGATGAACAATATGTACAAAACAGGTAACTCCAGTGGAAATGTTAGAAGATGCATAGAAGCTGGTTTTATGAATGCAGTGCCAAAAATCTATGCACGTACAGATTCTATAGATGCAAAGCAGAAGCTTAGGTAGTGTTCAAAACCGGAGTTATATTAGTATTCTTATTCAGCTTTTCATACCAATGTGTCTTTTTTACTAATCAATTTCTACTGGAATTGTAGCTATGAGTAGCTACATAGGTGGAAGACTGTAAACATCTAAATATGCTCTTCAAAAGCTTTATGCACAGAGTAGTCCAAAATTATATTAAAAGCTTATTGCACAGACCTCCTCCTTTGATATTCTAGCAGCTATTCAATTAGAGTTCAAGTATATTCCTGACTAGTTCACAGCTTAAAGTACCTGCATGCAGATGTTCATTAAAGGTATTTTTTTAAATTAAAAGACAGTACTATCCTACATCGTTCCTCCTTCTCCTATTCTCCACAACCGAGAAGTGAGACAGAAGCATTCTAAATATCGGAACACGTGCAGTGAAGGTTTCAGTAATTCCAAATGACTACAGGGAAAAAATACTGTAACAGACAGTAGCTTTAACTAAATTATTAAAAATAAAATACAGTTGTTTTTTTTTTTTAAACTATAGTTCATTACAAACTTTGATGCTTGGGCATACCATAAGAGATTGCTAGGGTAGGTTTACAGGAGATGAAAGGAAGAGATCAGACCTCCACCTATGCTCTGATTTCAAATGAAAATCGAAATCCCTGATTAACTTTAATATTAGCAGTTAATAAACGAAGAGTTATAGCTTCCATTAAAAGTTATCCATCCATTTATTTGAGCAACATTTCATTTAAGTGGAGTAGTTGAATAGGAAAGGCTCCAATTGTAGTAGCATTACAGTGTAAATGTCTAAAGCAACTGGTACCTTATCCCTTCTAAAGGTCAGCACTCCTTTTCAATTTACTTTCCTGATTTAAAGCTTAAAGTAATTCCGTTTTAAAATAAAGAAAATAAACATAATAGACATTACTTACTCTGCCAATCCTAGTATTGTTTCTCTCTTATACTGCCCATCTGCTGTAAACCTCTGCACATCCACTCCTCTGCCAAGACCTTGCAGAATCTGAGCTTGAGTGAAATCCAGTAGTCGTTCATTGTAGTAATGCAGCTGATTTATCAAAGGTGTGACTTCTTCAGGCCAGTCTGTATAGCCATACTGAGTGACATGCTTTGTGACCAGCTGAATCAATTCTTTTGGATCAGCCTGTGAAAATAATTGACAACCAAATTTAAAAAAAAAAAAAGCCCTGTAAGTTTCTAAAAAAAAATTATCATTTTATAATTGATCCCTGTGTTCAGAACTGAAATATGTTTCCATTTCTGAGAAGTTTTAAGTACAACAGAATTCAAAATTTTCTGCAAGGGCTCTTCACTATGACGTTAAAATTTATCCTTTTGGAATGTTTTAGACTATTCCATATGCTACAAAAATTCAAACAAACTTATCTAACCAAATTAATAGTAAAACTATTTTCACTATGACTGAACTTCCTTGTTTTTAAATGCCTCATTTTTATTCATGTTGAACTAGGTAACTGATTGGTAACACACGTCAAGAAATCAAAGAAAACTTACCAACTCTCCTCAATTACAAACAATACAAGTAAGTCTACTCTAAACCAGAGACTATTTCAAAAATAAGAATGTAAGCAACGTTGCAAACGGGGGGTTTTTGTTATTGAATTTCTGATACACTTGTATTAAACAGAATTGATAAAGGAATAGTTTAGCATTGTAACTGTCAAGCACTGCTACTTTCAAAGACCGAGAAGTGTTGCAGGATCTGCAAATTCCACATGAGACACTATCTATACCCTGAAACCTTCAAAGAATTAAATATTGATCATCCATGGATTAGGACAACTTTTGTTTTCAAAATACTTTCACCACAAATAAAACTTCTCTCTGTTAGAAATTATGCATAAAGTGCATATTTAATCAACCACTAACTCACTCCTGCAGTCAAAAACCCACATAGCTGAGCAACAGTTTAGAACATGATACAAATACAGTCTGCATGTTTGGAATGAAAAATGAACGCATGCACTGTACAGAGTTCCCAATTATTTCAAGATCTGGACAGTCGCTACATCTAAGCACCTCCACTTGAAAACAGCTGTGTGTGATACGTAATCACTCAGCACACGCAATACCTTGATTTCTCTCTTCCATGAAAAACGAGGCCACCAGCAACACAATGCCATAAGGAAGCAGCACAACTTCTGTGTGGCACCCACTGAGGAAGGAGTGCCATCCAAAGAGCCACCAAAAATACTTGGGGATGTTTGTCCTTAAAACATTTTGTAAAAGAAACAGCTGTTTTAACCGCTGTGATCTCAAAAATTTTAGTGTACTGAACAAATATACTTTGTTTTTATTACAGAATGATCCTGCTAAATTAGAAGCTAAACTTATGAACATTAACTGAAGTGCACAGCAGGGTAAAACGTGCACCAAATGTTTGAACCTTGAGGCATGCTTGAACTTTTCCATGACTTGCTGGTCATTCTAAAATTGATTTTCTTTTCTTCCCCTGCTCCCCTCTCCCGCGCCAAGTCTTAGCGGACAGGCTGCTCATCAAGTCATATTAAATGCTATGGGGCAACCTTTTTTCCTCTCCACATGACATTTTTCTGACGCCCTCTAAACATTGCAAGTTCATTGATTTTATAAACAACATCATTAGTTCCTTCAAGGTTGCTTAGGAGATTGGTAACAGAATAATAAAACCTGAGAAAAAAGATAGGCAAGAACAGCAGTGCCTCTACAATACAATTATATCAGCTGGAAACCAATCCACTGCTTATCATGTACCCTGGTATCTCATTTTATGTGATACACTCAAAAACAGAGCATGGAGACAGCTAAACTCGGAGCAAGATGAAGAAACCTGTTTAACAGAATTGCCTAAATCCTCTGTAGAGTCACTGAGAAAGGCAAGTCTCTCTGACAACCTATGAGGGTAAATTTGCCCTCTTTTGTTAGGTTTCCCCTCTCTCCATTAGAAAGAGTAGAATCCATTGTCAGCACTCTCTTTCCAGTGCACAGCCCACCAGATCATTCATAAAGTACATAAAGACAATCTTGAAAGTACTTTCAAATATCCAGAACTCTTCCTCGAGAAACGGCTTCTGAAGATGAAAGGATAACATTTTTAATAAGTTCCCTGCATAGCACATAATTTTTCACCATGAGGCAGCACTAAACTTGAGCATTTACAATAACTTCAGATAATATTAATTAATAAGACAGGTTGATTAAAAACATTTTATTTTTGGTCTACTGTTGCTTTCAATACATTGGGCAATCATCATCTTTAAATGTGAAATCTGTTTTAAAAAAACATAATCTGCCACTTTACTTCCAATCGTAATATTCTGACCAAGTTGTCACCCTCTCAAATGACTAGTGCCAATCTTTATTCCCCATTTGTTACACTTCCCTAAAAGCATCTGGGTGCAATCTTCCACGCTGCCTGTTTATGCTTCAAAGGAACACCTTAAGGCTATCTAATCCGCTTAATCATTTTCCTGTTAATACTTTTGCCAAATAATACCTACTAAGATGCAATAATAAGTGTGTGGTTCCACCAGGACTGCTCTTTATCAAATTAGTCAGTACTGTTCCACAGTTCTTCTTATCTAAACGTCTTCTACCCCTTGCTTCATTATCAGGTTATAATAAAAATAAATTAAAAAACCTGGATCAAGGACCAGTGTAATACAGTAGTACCACATCAAATAATAATGATGACAAATTGTTAGAAGTAAAAAAGACAAGGAAGTGAATGATAATCTGATGTACATCTTGTTTAAAGAACCAATGTGAGCCTTGGACATACATATAAGGAATCAAAAACAAAAAAATTACACTGATAATTAAGATAATTAATTCCCACTACTAGGTTATTTTCTGGGTTTTGAAGTTCTGAAATACATTATAAAGCAGAGGGATCTGAAAAGTATCACAAAAATATTTAAAGGATTTAAGAAGCATATCTTACAGTAATATACAAATAATGTCTTTGAAAATAATGTTTTAGGGTGGATTGAGCTTATTAATGACAGAATCATAGAATCATATCCTGTATGAATACTCATACATGTATATCCATACATATGTAAGGCAAAAAATTGCATCAAACTCTTCAATACAGGAGATGAAAGTATGAGATCTGATAGCTGGTAAATTGACATATATACATTCAGATTAAAGAAAACACAAGTTGGTTTTAGGTTGGTTTTTTTTAATTGCAAGCAGTTGCCAAGGATTGTGTTGAACTCTTCACCATCAAAAACCTTTCAATCAAGTGCTGTATTTTATCCCTTATAAGACCTATGCTCCAAACTCTCAGAGCATGTGAAATCAAAAATTAGTTTACAGAAATCCCACAGCCTGCTTCATGCAAGAGCCTATACTGATATCCAATGTGAGACTTTCTAGGTTTTTAATCTAGAAAAAAAATCTTTCCAAAGTTGCAGTTGTTTGCAAAACTCATTTACTGGAATGACACACCGTTTTCCCTCTCTGAGATTTGTCAGCCTTCTATAGATTTTAAATGTTTTCTTAAATAACAGTGCTGCTTGCACAGTATTTATTAGGCATTCAAGACAAGCTCCATGAAAAAAAAATACAAAAAACTAAAGGCTTTGGTATCGAGCTGCATAGAACTTGTATTTCATAATTTCAAATATTCATTCTTTAACATCTTCACATTTTAATAATACATATTTTTTAAAAGATAAACACAAATATTTCTACACCCATTAGATACTTAGTTCAATTAGTCATGACGCTTGTTATAATAAACAGTAATACAGAAAGATCATTATAGCTGTATTCAAAAAAGTCTTGTCAGTTTTCACTTGAAAAGACTATAATAACAAGCTAGTAACAGTAGCTGGCCATAAAGAAAATTAGCAAAAGCAGTGAAGGCTGACTTTTATTGCAGCATTCAAAGGGTTCACAAATTCTTTGACTTTCTTAAAACAGTAACAAGCACTTTAAAAAAAAGTAATCTCTACAGCAATTTGTGTAAATACAAACAAACTGACAGGTAAGACTGATAAGACGTCGTACTCAACTTGTTCTCTTTCTAACGTTATCTGTCAAAAAAAACCCAAACCAAAACAAAACACCAAAAAAACTACACTACTATCTCTGTTGCCTTTTCAGAGTCTTTCAGATACTTAGGAATTGTGCCTAGGTGTCCAATTCCCCACTTTGCCAGGTAAATCTCCTCCAGTACTTCCAGACAGATGTCTGAACACAGCTTCTCCTCCCTGATCATTCAGGAAGGGTGTTTTACATATAAACACAACAGCAAACATAGGGTAAGTTACCAGAGAAGCCCCAAAGCTGACCCGAATGTATTACACCCTTAGCTTGTGAGCCTCCCTAGCATTGCCAAGGGAAAGCCCTTTTGAACTACCCGCCAATGCATTTTACTCATCTATTAGAGTAGCATGATGTTTTGTGCTGAAACAGTGCTGCCTGGGCAATAGTGAAACGATCTGGCATAGGCTTTGCTTGGGAATTTAAAAAAGGAAAGGGAAAGAAGAGGACGGGAAACAGAAGAGGACGGGAAACAGAAGAGGACGGGAAACAGAAGAGGACGGGAAACAGAAGAGGACGAGAAGTACCCATCACTTCAGGATAAAGCTAATTTAATTTCAGGCTATTAGATGTGATTTACTCAGCACAGATCAGCACAAGTTACTGACAGTATTGTACCACCAGCCATTACCAGCAAGCCTCAGCTGGGGATCACGGTCCACCTGACTAAATGTTTTAAAGCAATATTTCTCTTTGACCATCCTCTGGGAGTCACACCTGTGAAGCCCTTCAGAATCTGTTTGTCACTGTGATATTATAAAAACAACACTGGTTTTAAAAAAGAGATGAGAGGTTTTGATCTTGGAATTTATTCACCCTGATCTCTAATCTTCAATTTGATTTTCTACCCACCTCGCAGTAAGCTGCTATTTCTTTTTTCTTTCAAATCTCTTTAAAAGACTTAATTCAGCCATATACATCAGGGGAAAAAAATGCTCCTGCTCAGGAAGTCATAACAATTTTACAGCTATGGCAAGAGAGATAAATAATAAAAAGCTCTACTGTAAACACGTCATTGAGATTATTATACCATCGTAAGGCTATTTAGCTTGTTTACTTCTTTTAAGACCAAGAATCTTTTCAATTGTT